TGATTTTGGATTTTAAACTACGATAACTTTAGGAAATTCATATCATTTTGGCACAATTTTCTCATGTTTTAACACACTTTCTGAGTCGAATTGTGCATAATTTAGTTTTATGCAATGAAAATGTGCATTCATTCTAAACTTAAGAAAATTCTTTTTAAAAATATCTTCGTCTAAATGCCAATATATTGATCTACCTTGGACAATTGAGAATTTTTACAGGATTTTGTGTTTTGTAGGTAGAGGAAACACCGTTTTTGGAAGCTCTAAAGGACCATAGGAAGCAAGGAACAAGACATACATGAATCTTGGAAAGAATCAAAGAACTCAGGAGTTAAAAAGGCCCTTCATTGGGTCACTTTTTTCTGCAGCGAAAAAGTACTGAAAAAAGGAAAAAGCTCTCCATGTTGTTCACTATGGCAAAGATAGCGAGGTTCAAAAATTAGGGTTTGATAATGTTGTGGGGAGCCAACTTTTTGACATTTGGACTCCTCAGACTCCTTGGAGCTGACTTGGAGGGGCAATTGTGATGAAGGTTTGAAGACATGAAAGATTGGGATTGGAGCTTGAAGAGATTTAGAGCTTCTTCCTTCTGTTTTTATATGCTTTTCCTTTCCTTTTCCGCTGAATTTTTGCGATGGTTGAACTTGTTATAGATAGGTGTAGTTAGTTTTTGAACATGAGTGGCTAGATAGTTTGTTATAGGCTTACTATAAACCGTTGTATGGACTGAGATTTGTTTACCCTTTTTTAGTGTTATCGGTAATAACTATATGTTGATTTTACCTTGAGCTTATAATGCATCTGTGATTACCCAGCATTTAGATAGTTTTGTTCAATCAAATGATGCTTGAGAAAGTTAATTATATTTGATTGTAGAACTTGGATAGTTTTGACTTTAATTTGGATTACTACTCCAAATCACTCCAAGTTCTCTATCTTTGACTATTAATAATTTGGTTTTGACAAACATTACTTGTAATGCAAAGTGGAAGACAGCTGCAACGCGGTTTTGAACGCGTAAAGAGTAAACTACAAAAGCTTCATGATCAGAACTACAAATTTGTGCCCAACTGGGTTTCATCTTGTTCTGATCAGATTGCAGAGACGCAGATCAAAGAAATCTTTCACTTTTATTTCAGCCACCAGGTTCCTGTTTTCTTCCTTTCTAATTATGTGATTTTCTATGCGTAATTTTGGTTGAATCGTGATTCTTGCTATAAGACATTCATGGATTAATTCCTTTTTTTTTATTCTATGAAATGGATTTAGTTCTTCAAGCATTAACTTTGTGTTTATGGTTTCTTTGAAGACGAAACTTTTGCTTTGAACTATAATTAAATAGACCGTAAGGAATATAAACATAGAGTTATCAATTCAATCGTCCTGGGATCTATTTTCTTCCTGGCCAATTCTTTTAGATCTCTAGTTACTATCTCTGAAAATTTCAGGAACTTTTGAATCTGCGAATGAGATTTGTGTTATCTAAAAGTTTTGGTTTGGCAAATCTGTTAACTCCGGAGACTAATCAGCCATGTCCTGTCATGTGGTGGATCAAATCATCATGTGCTTATCTCTCATCCTTTTGTTTATTTTTTTATTTTATTCATAAAAGTTTTGGTTTGGTAAATCTGTTAACTCCGGAGACTAATCAGCCATGTGCTGTCATGTGGTGGATCAAATCATCATGTGCTTATCTCTCATCCTTTTGTTTATTTTTTTTATTTTTATTCATAAATAAAAATGATTATTTATGCATTATCTTTGAGGATACATAGATCTTCGAGAGCATTTTGAGATTTTAAATTTTCTTGTACTTCTTTCTTCCTTTGAATATACCCATTACCTATCTCAGTTTTAATTTGCTTTGAAACTCAAATTGACGGGAAAATACATCTTACAAAAATTGCTTCACTTTCTTTCTGTTTTTTTTCACTTTTACTTTTGTGTTCAGATTCCAAATCCTTGCAATGGCGCATGATGCTGATGGAGATGGGGGCTTGTCAAGTTCTTCTGCTTCAGCTAAGAGATGGAAATATCATGTGTTCTTGAGTTTTCGAGGGGAAGATACTCGAACAAGTTTTACTGATCATTTGTATGCTGCTTTAAAATGTAAAGGATTAAAAACTTTCAGGGATGAAGAAGAACTTGAAAGGGGAGAATCTATCACACCAAGTTTGATACAAGCAATTGAAGAATCTCTTTCTGCAATTGTGGTGCTCTCCCCAAGTTATGCTTCTTCAACTTGGTGTTTGGATGAGCTTCAAATGATTCTTCATTTAAAGGAAGAGTCGAGTCTTCAGGTATTTCCAATATTTTACGGAGTAGATCCATCTGATGTTAGGAAACAAAAGGGAAGTTTTGCAAAAGCATTCATGAAGCATGAAGAAAGATTTGCTCAAGACATAATAAAAGTGCAAAGATGGAGGGATGCTTTAGGAAAAGTCGCCACTACATCTGGTTGGGACTCAAAAAATCAGTAAGTTCCAATTCTATCAATAATTATCATGTCTTGTTTTTTTTTTTTTTGAAAAATAAGGGCGTGGATATTCAAATAAACTCTAAATTACTGTTACATCAAGGGTTTTTATTTTCCCTGAATTTTTTAATGGGGAGAGGGGAACTACTTGAAACTTTCACTGCAGTCTACATATAGAATTATAATTTTCATTTATCTAAGAATAAAATATATACTATAGTCTCATTTACATTTTACCTTGATTACATTGATACCTTGTCTATTTGAAAATATGTTCTTGAAGTTAAATTCTTAACTCCATTAACAATATTTTAAAAAGATAATTTTAATTAAAATGTGTATTAGAATAATATTTGTTTACTAATTTGTCCTTTGTCATACTAAACCCTTGACTTTGATTAAAATTATTTTGAAGAATTAGTGTTCTTTTTGGTTTTCCTTAATTATTTTTCTTACAAATAATTATTCGTTTAATATGTTTATCATATTGGGATAAAATCTAAAGTAATTTAATTAGCATAGATATAGAAAACTTAATTAAAAATTTGAGTAATTCTTAAAGGATTGTTACTATCAAAGATTCAAAAATAAATATTAATAATTGATAATTTCGATATTTTAAAAATATCATTTTATTAATAATTAATTAACAGTAGTTATTAACTTTTGATAGTTGAAAACGTTACCGAATAGCACTTGATTTGAAATTTTAATCTGACAATGTATTTTGTGAAAAGTTGCTTAAATAAAATTAAGAAGAACTACTCAAATATAAAATTTAGAGTAAAATACTTTGACTACTTGCCTAGTTGCATCAATTACATAGACCCCTCTATTTTAAAAACATACATTTTATTCCAATTAGTTAACACCATTAGGATATTCTAAAAAGTTTCTAAAAATATTACTTTTAACTGAAATTTATATTAAAATAAATTTTATTTACTATTTTACTGCTCATTCTAATAAATTACTAAATTATATTTTTACAGTTATACGAATTTTATTTAGCTAAGACAAACATAAAAGAATTAATTAAAAATTTAACTAATATTTTAATAAATATATATGTACTTGACTAAATATGTTTATAAATTTTTGTAACAAATATGTGTTTAAAAGTTTTGAATTATAATTTTAAATAATTTATAAAATCTTTCAAATTCTTATCATTTAAATTTTATGATAAACAAGACCTATGTATTTGAAATATGTTTTTATGATTTAAAAGAAATTAAAGTAAATAATTTTCAACAAATGTGATAAAAATTAAAATTATAAATTTTTTTTGATTTGGAATGAAATTAATAAATTTAATAATATATTAGAAATTTTAAAAATATATGTATTAGAATTATTTTTTGATTTTATAAAAAATATTTTCTGAAAAATATAAATATCTAAATAATTATTAAGTTAAAAAAGGGCATTTTGGTCAAAAATAATTTAAAGTTAAATTTAATAGTCAACTAATGGTTTGGGCAAATGAACACAAAATCTCAAATATAAGAGGAAGGCATGTAACATATGTTTTAATTTTAAGAGAGATTTATATATGTTTTTAAAATAGAGTGACGGTTTTCATAATTCAGATAAAAAATAGAAGGATGATATTTTACTCCAAAATTTACTCCCTACCATCTAAAATATAAGAAGTCTTCTAGGTGAAATTTTGATACAAAATATATATAGGAGGTTGATATGGCAATTAATAATAGTTTTTCATTTTTCACCCATTGTCACAAGGAAGAGAGAGTTTTAAATGTCAAAGTGAGAGCAGGGAATTTTCAAATCTCATTCTTTAATAAAGGCAAAATAGTTTTTCCACTCCCCCATCCCTTATTATATGAAACAACTATCAAAATCACATAGTTCAAAATATTAGTGATAAACAATAAATATAATATGTAAGATATATACAAAAAAAATTTTCAATTGTACCTTTGTTTGTAAAGGAAGCGTGTGAGAGTTCTTTATTTATAGAAAAGCTTAACGAGCATCCTATATTATGGTCTAGAGGGACTATTACCAAAAGAAAAAGAAAATCACACAATAATGTGTTAATTCAATGACTTTTTATCTTGGAGTTAGTAAAGTGTGTGGACACACACGTAGTTAAATCATTTCATAATTTAATTTTCACATGCAGGTATGAAACAGAATTCATTGAAAGCATTGCTAAAGAAATGATGACAAATTTACTTGATGAATCACCATCTGACCTTGTTATGTTAATTGGGATTGAATCAAAATTAGGTGAATTGGAGTCAATCGTTGCAAGAAAATCACAAGGAGATGGGTTTATAGGAATATGGGGCACAGGAGGTTTAGGCAAAACAACTCTTGCTAGAGCTTTTTATGAGCGAAAGCTTAAAGACTTCGAGATTCACTGTTTCTCCATAATATTAGAGAGGCATATGAAAAAGATGGTTTGATGTCATTGCAAAGAAGACTTCTTTTTTCTATAGATAAAAGAAGTATGGAAGTGGATAATTTTTATGAAGGAATGAAGCTAATAAAAAACATGGTGGGCAACAAAAAATTTCTACTTGTCCTTGATGATGTGAGTGACGTTAGCCAACTTGAAAATTTGGCTCCAAAGCAAGGATGGTTCAGCAAGGGAAGCATAATATTAATAACAACTAGGGATAAGCATTTGCTATCTTCACATGGTGTATCTTCTGTGTATGACATCAAATTCTTGAATGATAATGAATCACTCAAACTTTTCCTTCACAAAGCTTTTAAAGGAGAGCAACCTAATGAAGATTATTTGGACCTTGCTAGAACCGTCATTAAATATGCTGGAGGCCTTCCTTTAGCACTCAAAGTGTTAGGTTCATTTCTTTGCAAAAGAACTATAATGGAATGGAAGGATGCACTGGCTAAGTTCAAGAAGGCTCCTCCAAAGGACATTTTGAAGATACTTCAAGTGAGTTTTGATGGGTTGGACATTAAGGAGAAGACTATATTCTTAGATATCGCTTGTTTTTTCAATGGGATGGCCCAAGATCATGTCATACAAATTTTAGAAACTTTGGATGAGGATCTTCATCCAAGAATTGGAATAACTATTCTTATTGAGAAATCATTGGTAATTGATTATGAAGGGTATCTGTGGGTGCATGAAATTCTACAAGATATGGGGAAATTTATTGTCTATCAAAAATCACCTGATGATGTTGGGAAGCGTTCTAGGATATTATCTTTAGAGGATGCTAATCATGTGCTAGAAAGAAATAAGGTGATATTCCAAAGTTATTGTGTTTGTGCACTCCTTTTATAATAATCTATTACATAACGTTTATAAATTTTTGCCTTGACTTCTTGTTTTATAGGGGACAGAAGCAATTCGAGGAATATTGTTAAGATTAGAAAAGTCATGTGATGTATTTTGGGATCCTAAAGCCTTCTTAAAGATGAGTAATCTCAAGATACTTATTATTTCAATTTCAAGTTACTCAGATGTTTCACATTGCCAGTTGAATCTTCCTTATGGACTCAAGACACTTTCCAGTGAGTTGAAAATCATAGAATGGGAGAGGTATCCATTACTTTATTTGCCGAGTCAACCTCAATTACATAAACTTGTTGAACTAAAAATGCAGCATAGCAAATTAAAAGAACTTTGGAGAGAAATACAGGTAATTATGGTTCTTTCATTTAAAGTGTTTGTCGATAATTTAATAAATTATAATTATAATTAGCTTTTCGGTTTTGAGGGCTTATTGTTTCTTTTTTCTTTTCCTCTCTTTGCTAGCCTCTTCAAAGCCTGAAGTCCATTGATCTATCCCATTCAGAATGCCTCATCAAAACACCAAATTTTGATGGAATTCCTCATCTTGAAAAATTGATTCTTGAAGGGTGTTTTAATTTGGTTGAAATTGACCAGTCTCTTGGCCAACACAAGAAACTTGTCATTGTTAACTTGAAAGGTTGCAGAAAAGTTAAAATCCTTCCAAGAAAAGTTGAGATGAATAAATTAGAAGCTGTTGTTCTATCTGGTTGTACAAGAATTAGAAAGCTTCCTCAGTTTGGAAAAGATATGAAATGTTTATCTAAGCTTGATGTACAGGAGACTTCTATAACCAAACTACCTCAATCATTGGGCAATTTGATTGGTCTCACTGAATTGAATTTGGAAAATTGCAAAAAGCTAGTTTGTCTTCCATATAACATTTGTAAATTGAAAGCTTTGAAAATTATCAGAATTCCAGGCTGCTCAAAGCTTTCAAAGTTGCCCGAGAATTTGAATGAAAATGAGGCTTTGGAAGAGCTTGATTTGAGTAAAATTGCTGTGAAAGGGTTATCACTTTATAAATACAATGCTGAAGCACAATCTTTATCATCATGGAGTTGCTTCTCCCTTCTTTGTCGAAGGCCTTTGAGCTCAACAAATTTTATATTGTCACCGCCTTTGTCATTCTTGAGGAAATTAAATTTAGTTAATTGCAATCTCCATGATGGATCACTTCTCGATGACATCAGCAAGTTATCATCACTGGAAGTTTTAGATCTAAGTGAAACAATTTCATTGACTTACCATCTGCCTGATTTCCAATCTTTCCAAGCTTCAAGGTCTTAATCTCAGTTTTTGCAACAAGCTTCGATCTTTGCCACAACTTCCCTCAAATCTATCAACCATATGGGCAGTTGGTAGTTCATCAATGGAACATTACGGATGTTCAGAGCAATTATGGGATTTTATCGAATCATTTCAACCTCCCATAAATTTAAGTTGGCTTTATTGTACTATGATCAGCCTAGTGACTACTACTTGGAATGTTCTCGCGAGTAAAAATTCCAGGTAGTGAAGTGCCGTCATGGTTTTATAATCAAAACTATTTTGTGAGAAAGAATTTAGTCATCCAAATGTGTCGTTCATAGTAAGCTTACCCTTGATTACTGTGGTTTCGTGAATGGTCGGGCTTAGCCATATGCTTAGTGTTAGAACACGATTTGGCATTTGGAGCAGGGAGGGATGGTGTTTGCTGGACTTACAGATTTCCTAATGATGAATTTCTGGAGATGTATTGTCCATATGGTGCTCATTTTAATGAGTATTGTAGTCATCAACTTGTATTTTATTTATTCGTTGTTCTCTTTGGTTGTAGACGGACTTCAAATGATTTTTTTTAGTGAGAATGCAATTCAAAATAAGTCACCAAAGTTTAATATAAGGAAATGTGGGTGGCGAGTGGTGTGTAAAGAAGATGTTGAAGCTTGGCGAAGAACAACGGATGAAGGTTGCATCAATGATTTCGTGATGATTGATAGAGACATGAACAATAGCAGTGATGTTGAGTCTACTTCCAAGGTACTTAGATCAACCCTTCTTGTTTTAGATTAAATGTTATTCTCTTCTGATCCTAAATATAAGACTTATTTTGTAGTATAAATTACACACAATACAAAATGACTCTTTCATTTAGGACATGAAGAGAGTATATTTTAGATTAATGAATGATTGGTTGGATATTTGAATTTTTCATTGATTTGTTAATTCAATATAATCTTTCAATTCATCTAAATATTATACTCCTCCAATCCTTAATATAAGACCTATTAACTAATTTGAGTGTATTAAGGATGTTAATTAACTTATTTAATATGATTTCTTTTCCTAAATCACCCTAGGCATCTTCCTTGATTATTTCCCTCCCTTTCTTACTTGATTATTGTTGAAAAAAATATCAATAAGATTCATTTGAGAAAATTAAATAAATATGTGAAATAGCTTTTACATATAGAACCAACATCACATCTTCTTAAGCTGAAATTGCTAGGGAGAGGAAATGTTCTGTTTTTTTTTTTTTAGGGTACTCCCGAGGAATAGATCTAGTGGAAATGGGGTGGGGTTTGTAACTCAGAGCGTGGCTACAAACCATGGTAGGTCATACATTAAAAATCTGAGGAGTATTTCCTTAATAATATCATTTCCGTAGATACTATTTAATATATAATTTTAGGTAGAGTTGTTCATGAAAACCAACTACGGAGTGGCCTGAAATAATCAACCCAAAAAAGAATTGGGCATTATCAGGCTACCTAAATTGTTGGTCAAGGCCAAGAATTGGGCATGCCATCCTATCTAAAGAATATATATTACCTCCGGTTTTAATTATAAAAACTAGTTGATTAATTTGGAGGAGATTAAAAAAATAAGTTAAGTTAGTTATTTACAATAAATAAGTATTGTCTTTCTTAAAATATCCTTATTAATCAAGTGTGTTGGCTAAAACTACAATTATTAGAAGGACTATTTTGGAAAAAATTGCATAAATATGAAGATAAAATGGATTGGGATTTTATATTTAGGATCAAAATAAAAGTCAAATGAGGTCTTATATTAAGGAACGGAGGTAGTATAATTTTATTTGATAGATGTATTATTCAAAGCAACAGCTTTGTCTCTCTCTTCGTCTTTTATTCTTATTTTCTGTTACGATAATTTTTATGTGAAAGGCTCAAATGGGCACTTAGTTTACTTGGAGGATAATGCTGCTTTTATTTACATTTTGTTGTAACTTCTATTTTGCAAATACAACACACTTCTCTTGATACTTTTCGTTGATCACGGATTGATACTAGTTCTACTAGTTGCGTGAAAATATCACATGGATTGTTTATGTTGGAAATCATATCGCCTATCTGTCATTGCATTTATTGCTCGAGATTTACAGCCTAGTATTTTATGCGAAACTTACATTGTTGTTTTAATTTGTGGACATTTCATCGATTTCAAATTATTGTTCTGCTTTTAATAGAGTTTATCAAGTTATTTTTTTTAGTTTTCTTCACAAATAATATTATAAATATGACGTTGCTACTTTGGTAGAGAAACCCATCCTATCTAACCTCCCTTTACCCGACCTGAAATAACTTGGGCTTTTCCCAGGCAAGGTGATACCATTATATTCATTCTTTAGGATGGGTATCGGGTAAGAGCTATGTCTTACCCACTTCTATCCATGTGCAGCCCTACATATTTGGTTTGTTTCATATCTTCAAAAAAATTTATTATTTTTTGCCTTTTACTTGTATGACATAATTTAGTTTCAACAGTCCATCAAAGTTCAAACTAGATCTTATGCATTTCTTTAATTTTTTTTCCCCATTGATTTGGCAAAAGTCATAAGTTGAAAATCTTACATCATTTATATGTTTTAGCACATCATATATTAAGTTAGTACTGTTTGAAATAAGCAAGTCTGAGTGGTAAGTATTGTGCAGTACTGTTGAAGGATGGCAAAAATCCAAAGATGAAGCTGATATTGATTCAGATAACTTGAACAATCCCAGAGAACAAAGAAGGTGTAGCCATGAGGAGTGGATGTCAAACTTTTGGCATTCCCCTGATCCTCTATTTCAGACTTGATTGTTACGGCCCAAGAAGGAAATAATGATGTGGCAATCGCGTGTGGTAAAGGTGAGATGCGTTGCAACGCGAGGGAACATTGCCTCGCCTGGAAGTTGAGAGAATAAATGACGATTAGCAATGATTGGGGAGGGTGTGAAAAAGTTGTATGACGTCTCTTCTCTCTGATCTCATGATTCTCTGCTTCCCTTCCCTTTGGACCCTCTGGGGTTTTTCCTCTCTCTATATCTCCCTCTGTTGTTTTCTATTGATTATTCGTTTATCTGGGTGCTGATAATTGTAACTGAATGATTATATATGTATCTGCTGAGCTCATATTAATATACAATATCATTCAGTGATCATATTAACTCTACTGTTTAGATTGATCCATAACATTTTGGTGCTCTCGTTGATAGCATGGCGGAGGTAATGAGATTCAAGGAATTACAGGCAGATGTGACAGGCATGAATGAACATGTGAAGCAAAAGAAATCGCAATCAACATGAAGATTGAATAGATGGAAGTGAGCACCAATTTGAAAATATATCAATCACTTCATACACTATTTTGAAGTATTTCACACGAAGCATAAAGAAGTTTCATAATAAAATTTAGGGAAAACTAATCCGACAATACATATGATTTTGAATTCCCAACCTCTCTCCTTCAATGAGCAGTTTAGCAACAAACTCTTCAGTTCCCCAGCCTTTCTCCCTCCTCCAGTCTTTCAGAATTCAGAAGAGTTGGGTGATGCCTTCTTGGAGAGAGTTTTTGGGCTTAATAATGACTTTGTATATTGGAAACAAGCAAAAGTACAGGGTTTTTGCCTCTGTTTTTGTTGGCAGAAAAGAAACAGGGCTAAACAGAATAATGTGGTAGCAGCAAATAACCTCTCATATGGCATACTAATTCCGATTTTTAATACGAGGCTCAATTAACAAATTTAGGAAGATTAAAAAGTTACTAAATTATTTAATTATATCATATATTACGTAATCTCTCTAAAATATTTATATGTATCATTAGATTATATATCAGTTTATAAATAGAGCAAATTAGTTTGAAAAAAAAACCATAAATATAAATATATTAAAGTAATTTAACAACTTCTTTAATCTCTTAAATTAGTCAACTAAATCTTATATTAAAGACAAGAAGCAGTATATTCTATATCAACTTGAATATTAACATTGCAATAACCCGTGAGAAAGGAGGAGGAGGAGGGTTGATAAATTAAATTACACATAAACCTTGTTTTATAATTGATTTGTGTCTGCCCATTCTCTACGTATACGTTTATAGACAGATACATTTCATTTCTAAAGTTTTAACTTATAATCACATACTAAAGCTTGATAATTGCTCATCAGAATTACATAACCAGACAATTAAAGTGGGCACCATGCCATAACTATGTCAGCTTGATAATTGCTGCGGGAAGGATGGTGGATAAATATGTGTAAAAGTGATTATTATAGTGAGTGATTTATAAGCTTTTAAAATATAAGGACCACATTAAAAAAAGAGATCAACTATAAGGACTTTTAGGTTAGCTTTTCCTTAAAAAGACTTCAGTCATCCCTCGTTATAAGATTCAAATAATCAAATTGTCTGGTTTAAAAAAATGTTAAAATTAATTAAAATTAGGAACTGTACTTTTTATTTCAAATATATTCTTATTTCCAAGTGGTTAGGTGAGAGTTTAAAAAAAAAAAAAGATAAAAGAGAATGCACGAGGTGAAAAATAATGATAGAGTATAATTAAGAGTAAAATAGTAAAAATACGGTTAATATTCAGACAAATTAAAGGATATTTTATATAAAAAAAATACCAATTCAAAAAATTAAATCTTAATGCTCTCATGCCTTCCAAATAGTCATTGCTCCAAAGCCCAATGAGCTTTTCTCAACCTTTGCATTAGTTTCTAAGTCGGTCTTTCGATGCAAATGATTATTGGTCCTGTTCATGATGATAAACAACAATGAGCTTCAAGATTCAGTATGGCGCTGTAAATTCTACCCAAAAAAAAAAACAGAGAAAAATATGGCACTGAAAATTCTCCCAACTCATTGACTAATTTTTTCTCACATATGATAAATTAATGATCGGTTTGAATATAAAATTGAAACCAATGTTTTCTTAAATAATTGTAACGTAATAACGATACATAGTTATAAAAGGTAAAATCGAACTGAACAAAGCACTGACGATAAATTTTTTAAA